CTGCCCTCATTCTCAGGGCACGTGTCTGCCGTTCCTAAAATAGACACAGGCAGGGCTCATCCGTGCTCTTTCCTCCTGGAATCTAGCGCACTGCCTGCTGGCTGTATGCTGCCTGCCAGTTTCTGAGCCTGTGGGTAGGTGTCTGGGCTTGTTGTTGGAAGAAGAGCCATTGTCTCCGCAGGGTTTCAGAAGGTGAAAGTGAGCCCCAAAGGGACACATTCAGGAAGGAGTGAGGAGATAAGGAAGTACGAAGGTTGTGTTTACACAAGAAAAGAGTGGTGATGTTTCTCTGGCCTTGGAACAGTTGACTTGCACATATGGACAACCTCATTCTCCCTGGAGGAGGAGGAGAAAGAACCAGCGCCACCCAGTGGACCACTGGCCCTTTGTAGTTGGTCCTCAGAACCTCTCTTGTTCCCCAGCAGTTCTGCTGAGGTGGCTGCTTAGTCAGAAAGATCACGGATTTAGGGAGGCCTCACTGTAGATGGTGCACCTCCCATGCCCGCTGCCGCAGTGCCAGCCCCGTCCTCTAACTCATGGGCTTCAGCCTGCTCGCTCTTCTGGGACATCCGCTGTGACAAACACTCCTAAAACACTGTGCTCGTCATCTTCGGGCCCCTCCATTCTGTTTATTCTTTCCATAGCCCTGCCATTTGTTGATATGCAGGGTATATGATATGTGTGCATGTCTGTCTGCACCCTATGAGACAGGGCCTCCTTCCCCATCACCTACAGCAGTCCTGGTCATGGTGTGTGCGCAGTAAATACTGAGATGAATGAGTGGACAGGTGCACCGCATGCACCTCACCTTGTCGCAGTAATAACCTTGGTGCATACGAGGCTGCAGGGACCAGGGCTCCAGGGCTCTGGGACTCCTCCTGACAGCATTTCTGTGCTTAATTCCAAAGGAATTTCTCTGGGACATCTTGAACCATCAGGAAGGTCCCCGCATCCGTGATCGTTTAAGCCATGGGGAGGTCAACCTCGCTGAATTTCCACGGGACACAGCAAGTCAGCTACTCACCTTTTGCGCTGTGCTTTTACTCAGGTTCATGGACAGAGATCTGGGGTCGGTGTTTAAGGTAATTATGGGAGGGAGAGGGTTAGTTAGACCCACTCTCAGCCGTTCATTTTCAGACGCAACCCACTCTTTGTCATGTCCTGTTTTAACTCATCTGAGGTACAGTGTCACCCACTGGAACAAATAATGGTGTCTTACTTGTATGCAGTCGACTCAGTCTGTAACAAGGACTTAAACTAATGTGAACATAGGTGTGTCACCTACAAGTTAACTGATCTAAAGTAACTCATTTCTTCGCAGCACTCAGCCTGGTCAGGGTACTGAGAAGCAAAAATAATTCTAAAATGGGATTCACAAAACACTAGGAAATTCTGACAAAGACCTGTGAGAATGGTGGGGATAGACTGTGCGTCTGTCAGTACACTGTGATTCTTTCATTTTAAAATAAGTAATTTTGGTAGAATTGTTGTTACTGAGGTTCTAATTTTTTTCAGATTTCTGTGTAGCAGTTGTTATATAAGTGGGTACAAAGTTTCAGCAACATAAAGATTAACGCAGACAGTTAATGTGGGCTGAGGGCAGATGTGGTCTGTATAGTTTACCATTGTTGCTGGCTGCATTTCAGTCACCCTGCTGGTGGTGACCGGTGACATACCCATCTGTTGGGACGTGACGTTCTGTCTAGTCATGGTTGAACCGAGTCTTCTGAGGGGAGGTCATGGAAATCACGACCCACCAGTGGCCTGTCACCCAACAGAGAAAGCTGGAAACCTAACCAACACTTGTAGTAACTGAACACACATCTCTTTTCTGAACTAGGAAAAAGCAGCAGTAAAATCATTGATTAGCATCGCAGAAGGCTATAGTTCCCGCTTCCACCCAGCCTCCCAGCTTAAGAAGCAGGTATGCCGGAGGTGGGCGGGAGAGTCTCTGGCGTCCGTGCCAGGCAGGAGGCAGCTCCACACTGTCGGTTCGGCTCCGCTCGACGCCGCTGCTCTGGCTCGCTGCCGGGAAATGTGGAAGAGGGACTTGGCAGTGGCACCGTCTCCGGCCTGAGCCTGGACTGCTGTTGCTGAGGTGGGCACTGACTGGGGCCTGGGCGCTGCCCTCAGTGCACACGCTGATGTGCCTCATGTGCTTCTGGGCTTTGCAGGGACAGGCACCATGACAGTTGTAGGCCTTCAGACCCTGCCTTCAAGGCGTGGCTGTCAGAGAGATGGGAAGGCAAGGGAAGCTTCACAAAGGAAGAGAAGCTTCTGGAAGGCGGGCCTTGCCTGAGAGGGAGCAGCCTTGCCTTGGACCTGGCCTCCTCTGGCTGCTGTGCTGTGCTGCGTGTGCTCCTTGGTGGACCCTCTCTCTCCTGGGGCCTGTCAGGTCACGGCCTCCCCGTGCCTCCTTAGTCCCATGTTCTTGTACTTGGCACGTGGCCTTACGGCCTATTCTCAAGGTCGTGTTCTGGTGTTTCTGTGGCCTGACAGAGGACTGCTGTATCTGCTCAGGATTTTGTGGGTCAGGGTTTGGGTGAGGCTTGGCTGGGCCATCCCTACTGGACCTCTCAGTGGCTCTGTCAGCGCTCCAGTGGCCAGGGGACCAGTCCAGGTGGCGCCCTTGCACAGCCATAAGGTGAGCACAGAGCCTACTCATGGCTGCTCTGCCCTCTGGTGGCCAGAGCTAGTGACCAGAGGGAGGAGTGCACCACCACCCTGGCCAGCAGGTCATGTGACCCTGCTGCCATGAGTCTCCTTATAACAGGTTAGTCAGGAAGTCTAGTCCCTACTCAAGGGGAGGGGACACTGGTCCCACGTCTGAGGACTTGGGGGGAAGGGACACTAGTCCCAGCCCTCTGAGGACTCCAGGGTGGTGACCCTGGTCTGAACTGTCTGAAGGCCCAGAGGAGGGACACTGGACCCACCTCTCTGGGAACTTAGGGGAGGAGACACTGGTCTCAGCTCTGAGGACTTGAAAGGGGACGCTTGTCTCACAGGGACTTGGGAAAGGAGACAGTGATCCCAGCTCTCTGAGGACTCGAAGGTGGTGATGCTGGTCTGACCTCTCTGAAGGCTCAGAGGAGGGACACGGGTCCCACTTCTCTGGGAACTTGGGGGAGGGGACACTAGCCCCACCTCTCTGAGGACTTGGGGTTTGGGGGCGTTGGTGTCACTTCACTGGGGACTCAGGAGGAGACAGCGGCCCCACAGGGACTCAGGGAGGACACGCTGGTCCCACTGTCCCACAGGCATGTGAGAGGAGTTTGCAGACTTGTAGAACCACCCCAGACAGTAAAGATTTGGACTCCTCAGGAGTTTCCCAGAGCTTACCTTATGGTATGTTGTGAGTGGCCATCACCTGGGCCCAGGTTTGAAAACACTGTCAGATCTGTCATAGTTCCAAACAGGTAATTTTCCCTAGAGGGCTCACAAGATCCATCTGTATCAATTGAAAATTGTGTATTTCTGGAAGGTTCATTGTCAAGTCTTGAAGAGTAAGCAGACGTCTGCTTCTCAGGTGCTGATGTGTGAGGCAAGCATCGACCGCTGGCCTGTGCTTCCTTGGCCAGAAGAGCGCATCCCAGAAGCAAGCAGGTACCCCTCACCCCGAGGCTGGTGTCAAGAGGGCTGGGCGGTTAGAAACAGAGGCTGAGGTGGCACTGATAGGCCTGGAGACTGGGCACTGAGCATGTGACCGGGCAGCCGAGACACAGAGAGCACCTTCTGTACAAATGAAAGATGGTGACGTCCACGGAGAACACAGGCCTGCAGCTGAGTGGAGCGGTGGGAAGGAGTGGGACCCTGAGGAGTCCTGGAGCAGCCTGCTAACTCAGGAAGTGGGGCTGCTTCCTGCCTCCTCTTCATCAGCAAACTTCACTGCTCGCAGCACACTGTGCACTTGCTGGTGCTTGGGGTCTGAGGGGTGATGCTCACTGACATTTGGGGTCTGAGGGGGTGACACTCACTGTACATTTGGGGTCTGAGGGGGTGACGCTCACTGTATATTTGGGGTCTGAGGGGGTGACACTCCCTTATACTTGGGGTCTGAGATGACATTCACTGTACATTTGGGGCCTGAGGGGGTGATGCTTTATATTTGGGGTTTGAGGGGGTGACACTGTATGTTTGGGGTCTGAGGGGGTGATGCTCACTGTACATTTGGGGTCTGAGGTGGTAATGCTCCCGTTTATATTTGGGGACACTAAGTTGTAGATTAAGTGCTTTGCTCTGTGAACTGTTAAAGTTAACACTGTTTTTCAGAGGCCTAAGGTAC